AAACAGGAAAAGTTTTGTGCAAGTTTTTGCGTTAGACTCCTTCCACCATTACTGGGTGAGCCTATCCTTAATAATGTCTTACTTTGAAACAAGCTTTTTTAAACTTGGTGTATTAGAGAAATTGAGTGGTTTGGGATCAACTAAACACTTGAAAATCTACCCATTGAATAAAGAAATATGATTTTTTAATATAAGATTGCTTCTAGTAGCTTTTAGTAGCTTTTAGTAGCTTTTAGTAGCTTTTAGTAGCTTTTAGTAGCTTTTAGTAGCTTTTAGTAGCTTGTAGTAGCTTTTAGTAGCTTGTAGTAGCTTGTAGTAGCTTTTAGTAGCTTTTAGTAGCTTTTAGTAGCCGAAAACAGCTAAATCCATTTGTTAATTGATTGAAATCTTTAAAAATAACTTTGTAACTCAAAGGAAACGGCTTAGAATGAGTGAAAACTGAGTGAAAACAAAAATGAAACTTGAAAAACAGATTGTTTTCAAGAAATGACCTTCTCCTTCTCTTTCTCCATCGTACTCTAACAATTCCTATCTTTTTTTGATCGATCTATCTCTCCGTCGACCTCTACCGTGCACTTCACCCATCCCATTCCCCACTTCACAACGCCGCGGATCAATCGATGTAGTCAAAAGAGAAATGGAGATGAAAAAAGGGAGAGAACGGGTGGTGAATAGATGGAGAAGGGGGCTGTTGTCTGTCTCCAATCGCTGGGTAGACTAGAAGGGGAAGTGGGGTGAGTGTGCCGGGCAACATCAATCCTCATCTCTTCTCTCCTCCACTCCACTCTTCTCTTCTTCACTGAACCGATCGTTGCCAATCAATGGGTGATCTAATGATCAAGGATTCATTCAGCAAGAAAACTTTTCACTTCGTGATGTAAGAGAACTTGGGGCTTTAAAATCCTTGTGCAACTAGGAATTAGCTGATACGAGCCTGAAGCTGATAGAAAAACAGAAGCTGAAATAGAACTGGCAAGGAAACTGATAGTTTGTCGAGTTTGTAAGCAAACTGGTAGTTTATAGACTTTTAAATTGTGAATGACAGTGGCTGGCTCGACAGAAACTGGCTCCTGACAGAAACTGGCTCCTGACCATTGCTGTGGCCTATCAGACGTTATGCGAATCCAAATAATTAGTATAATTTGTATTATAGTATCTAATAATTAGTAGTATTTACAAGTAGTTCCAAAAAAAACGTTCTATAAAAGAGCACAAATCAATTGGTTTGTTTGGTTTGTTTGGTTCGTTTGATTTATGCCTGAAAATGAGCGTTTTAAACTAGAGATGCTGTTTAAAACATTCCCAGCCATCCTAATAACGATTCTTTTTGGTATAAACTTGTTTTTAAGGACTTTTGTTACTTGTGGGTTTTGGGTTTTGTTGATTTGTTGATTTGTTGATTTGTTTATTTGTTATTTTGTCTATTTGTTAAGATGGCTTTGGTAAATTTGTACTAGTTTTCATGGGGGACATTTAGGGCTATCGAATGACTATAATAGTTTAGTTTTTCGATGAATTGACACTAAATTATCAGTAAAACAGTGAACGCCTACGCGACTGTACACTCAAAATAACGTCTGTACTAATGACGATGATTTTTTGGACTTTTACCCAAGTTTTTAAGACTTTTTATCTTTATTTAGCTTTAAGTTCTCGGTAACTTTGTACTGGTTTTCAAGAAGAGATTCAGGGCTATCAAATGACTATAATAGTTTAGTTTTTCGATGAATTGACACCAAATTATCAGTGAAAAAGTAAACGACTACGCGAAAAAATGCAAAAACGATAACGTGATAACGACAAAGAAGTTTATAAGTCTATAAGAAGTCTATAAGAAGTCCATAAGAAGCCTATAAGAAGTCCATAAGAAGTCCATAAGAACTCCATAAGAATTTACAATACTAATGAGTAAATTACGAGTATTAATGAGTAGATTCTTCAATGCTGTATACGAATTTGCTTTCTAGTTTCAACAAAGTTAAACTTTCTGCTTTGAAAGCAGGAAGTTTTAATTCTATTTAGGTTTTAAAGCAACAAAACTCCTCACCGAATTAAGTTAGCCAAACCTGAAATTGTCTCAAATAAGTTTGAAACATTAAAATTATTTCCCCCATTTTTCTTACTCTGATCAATCTAATAGACACTCCGTTCACGTGCTCGCCGAAAACATTTTGTTTTTGGTTATCTGGATAGAATAGTGGTGAAAAAGAAGATGGAATGAGCGAGAAAATCGCTTGATAAAAACAAACAATTGGGTAAACAGATTGGGGTAAATGATTTAGATATATGCAGATGGGGAAAGCTCTTTTAAAACTAATAACTAATAAAGTAACTCTTTAAAAACTAATAAAGTATGCAAAGAATAGCAAAGAGTAGAAATTATATCAAAAATTCTATCAAAAAATGCATTTACTGTCGAGAAAATCTTTAGAAAAACGCTTTTAAAACGCTTTCAAAACGCTATAAAATATTAGTGTTTCAAAGTTTCTGAATACTCTTAAAATCTTCCTCAGCCAATGAGTAAGGCATTGTTCTATTCGTTTAATTTCTATTTTCTTTTATTTTCTGCTATTTTCTGCTATTTTCTTCTATTTTTAAACTACAAAATCAACCTTATTTCTAAAAATTTGAATCAAATTGAGATTTAGGAGAATTTACGGAAGATTTTATCGTTTTTAAAGAAGATCTTATTCAGATTTTATGTATCCAATTGAATGCAAGCTTTTAAAATAGTTTTAAATAGTTTTAAATAGTTTTAAATAGTTTAAAATCATTTAAAATAGTTTAAAGCTTTTAAAATAGTCTAAAACATATTCTATAAATGTTTTCAATGTAAAAAATTATAAAAAACATTGAGTTAAACGGATTGGAATCCCTAGAAACAATTCAAAGTTCAAAAACAAAAGTGATGTTTCAAAGTTGTTGGTTTTAAAGTGGAAAATTAGGATTTATTTCATCTAGGTTAGCTATTTTCAAAAAATCAAACTAACCGCCACTTTTTCTTTTGAAAACATCGCAACCATGGCCAGAGAAGAATGAAAGAGATTTCACAATAACGGCTTGTTTTCAGAATTCAGGCACAGTTGTTTGGCTTGCGACGTACAGGCGCAGAAAATGGCAGAAAAATGGAGGCTGTGAGTCTTCGCAAATAATGAACGATCGGAGTAGAAGAGGGTTTTGAAGGGAAAAGGGAATGGAATGGGGATGATGGAGAGGAGACGGGTTGGTTAAGAGGTCAAAGGGGGGTCACTTGTAGGGAGAAGGGTGGGTGGAGCAGAAGGGGTCGATAAGAGGCGATGGACGGTCGGCGTTCTGCCTTGGTCGCCCAGGCAATGCTCTCGTGTGAATGGTGAGCTCTAGGCATTCAAATGACGATTGCTTAAGAGTGAGATATCCGAATCTGAGCAATCGAACGATCGAACGATCGAACGAACGAAAGCAAGTCTGATCGATCAACTTCAGCAATGATTACTGATGTTTGAGGTCATCAGAATTAAACGCACGTCTCCAACACGCAGCCGCAGCTCTATTTATCTCAAGGCTAACACCAAGAGCTAATGCTAACACCATGCTAGCACCTCTCAATGCTTCACGAGAAAGAATTGAATGGAAAGTTGTAGAGAAATCGATGTTAGAAAACTAATTGTTTCAGAAAAATCATCAAGTTTCAACTTCAAATAGTATAAAAATGGAAAATTTCAGTTAATTCATAGGTAGCGTCAATTCTCTTTAAACAAAATTAAGACTTTCTCCTCTAAGCCCTCATCAATCCTAATCTATCCCTCCAAATTTACATTTTAAAAGCTCTAAAACTGATCTCAATGTTTTATTGAACTTTTGGATAAATGTAAATGCAAATTTTACTGACTTTTACAAGATTGTACTCAAAATTCGATCTGTAACAACGTTGCTACGAGTTAAACTAGAAAAAAAGAAAGCCTAGTTTCAAAGAAATCAAATTCAAAGCAATGAAAAGTTTTCAATGTTTGATTCTTTTTATTTAGACTTCTTGTCATTTAGACTTTTCATTTAGACTTTTCATTTAGACTTCACTTAGACACCTTGGTGCAATTGTGAAAGCTAAGCTCTACAAGCTAAGCTAAGCTAAGCTAAACTCTACAAGCTAAGCTAAGCTCTACAAGCTAAGCTAAGCTAAGCTCTTGAAGTGAATATGATTCAAAAATCGATTCAAATTGATCAACGCAAATTCACTAACTCAAATCAATCAACTCAGACAGATCCCTTTAAAGCTAGCGATTCAAATTGCTCGATCAAAGTTGATTTATCCAAGTTTATTGATTCAAATCAATCAATTCAATAAGATCACTTTGAAATCAACCACTCCAAATCAACCAATCCAAATCAATCGATCCGATTCACGAACCAATTCTCTTCCAATTCTCTCCCCAAAACAATCAGAAGATGCCAATGGGCACAGTCTCTTTCTCTTGCTTTTCTTTCTCTTTTTCTCTCTTTTTTTTGAATGTGAAGGGGTCACTGGCAGATGTGGCCCCTCTCCAACATCAATCACCGCACAACCAACAGAGAAAAAGAAAGACTCCCGTTTTCTGTATTCTGTAGTCAACGAAGGATGATAAGAGTTTTAAAGAATATTGATTCAGGGAAATTCTGAATGAATAGGTTGATAGTGACCAAAAAGTGACCAATTTTCGATAAAAAATGGAAAATGTTTGTTGAAATGGAAAATTAATCGACTAAACAAAAGCTATAAAGGATTTTGAAACTAAAATTTGAAATCAATTTACTTTCTCTAAAATTGAAACAAAAAAGTTGACGCCTTACAAGGAGAAGTCTTAGAAGATAGTTTTAAGGAATCATTGGCTTTTTATGTTTTTGTAAACTCAGACAATTGTCAACAATTGTCAACTTTATTGTCAACTCTTGAAAGAATTTTTGTTTTTATAAATTCTTATGAACTTCTTATAGGTTTTTGAAAGTAGGCTTTGTTCTTAAACCCATTCAATAGTCAATTCACCCACCTGAACTCCATTGGAGCGTTTCGAGCTCGACTCGCGGCTACTTGTCGTCGAATCGTCCCGGCCACCGTTCACGTTGTTCTGAGCCTGAATTTGGATTCATTAAAGTGAAAAAGTTGTAAAATTATTGACTAAAAAACATAGGGAAAGATTATTTAAGAAAGCTTATTTGAGAAAGCTTATTTAAGAAAGCTTATTTAAGGAAGCTTATTTGAGAAAGCTTATTTAAGAGAGCTTATTTAAGAGAGCTTATCTCAGAAAGCTTATTTAAGAGAGCTTATTTAAGAAAGCTTATTTCAGAAAGCTTATTTAAGAAAGCTTATTTCAGAAAGCTTATTTAAGAAAGCTTATTTAAGAGAGCTTATTTAAGAGAGCTTATTTAAGAAAGCTTATTTCAGAAAGCTTATTTAAGAGAGCTTATCTCAGAAAGCTTATTTAAGAGAGCTTATTTAAGAAAGCTTATTTAAGAGAGCTTATTTAAGAAAGCTTATTTAAGACTAAGCTTACTTATGCTTAAACAAATTTTCGACAATACGACTACATAGATTTAGCACTTTTTTGAGTTGAATTGGGCTGAAATAGTGTCACTTCAATACACTTAAACTTGAAACTTTACTTTGATTTTATGCAAAGTGAATTAATGTTCATTTTATTCTTACACACCATAAACTTTGAAACACTCGTTTTTTTATTGTTGCACAAACGGCTGTACTTAAATTTAGCACTTTTTTTGAGGTGAATTGGGCTGAAAATTTGCATCACGGGGTTTTTGGGGTCAAAGAATTCGAATCCGTTATTAGTTTTTAAAGAAAACCGTTCTATTTTTGGATATTTCATTCGGTTTAATTACCCAAATTTTTAGAGATTTTTTTGACCGTATTGACTCGGAAATTAAAGTTGCTCAAAAACAATAACGGATTCAGATTCTCCATCCCAGAATGCCTCCAGTTACAACTTTTCAGGTCTACAGCTAACATAAATACCGTAAAAACTAATAGAACCTCATCCTAAAGGAGCGTCGCGTAGTCTAAGTTTACTCTCAAACAAACGCTCATATCTCGACACGAGTACGTTTGTTTCTCCTCGGTTTGGTACCAAATTAAAGTAGAGAGAATGAGTGATTTAGCGTTAACCAACCCTTAGGAAAGAATGATTGAAAAGTGGCAAAAAAAAAAAGAGGCGATTTTCTATTCGCCAACAACAATCCAAGTGCGACAGTTGCTCAAAAACAATAACGGATACAGATTCTCGATCCCAGAATGCCTCCGGTTACAAATTTTTGGGTCTACAGCTGTCTGAAACATCAGCTAAGCTAAAAATGACTTTATCGTGAATGTGTTAAGAGCTAGATTTTTGATTGACGAGTCAGCATGCAATGAAAAAAAATTCATTAAATGGTTTTTTCCTTAAAAAAACTTGAAACTAGCTTTTTTTTATCGTTTTCAACTCTGAATCTTGTTTATTCGATTAAGAATTTTATACATTTTATTCAAAGCTGCTGTTTCTTTTGAATAGATTTAACATTTGAACTATCTAGATTCTTTTTCAAACCTTATTATGAGCATTTCAACCTCTAACTAAAGAAATTTCTTTAGTTAGAGAAGTTAGATCGAATTTTGTGAGAAATGATAAGCTTTTTGTAGCTTTTTGTAGCTTTTTGCAGCTTTTTGAAGCTTTTTGTAGCTCTTTGAAGCTTCTTGTAGCTTTTTGAAGCCGATAAACGTAAAATGTTATAACCAAAACAATTTTTAAAGAAAAAACAGAAAGTTTACCGAATTAATTGAATAAGAAAACTCGTTTTTGATCATTTTTAGGCAGAGATTCGATGATTGATTAATGTAAAAGCTTTTTGTAGCCAAGAAAAACACGAAACATACAACTTTAAACATCAAAATTTGTGCTATTCATCAAATTGCAAGAGAAGCTTACCGTTTTATTCAATTGCTAGATTGTTTTCAACTAGTTACTCTAGGTTTTGTTAGCTTTTTTTGAAACAAGATTCAGAGTTGAAAACGATAAAAAAGCTAGTTTCAAGTTGTTTAAGGAAAAAGCCAATATAAAACTTAGCTGATGCTTAGCTGATAAAACATAGCTTAGCTGATGTTTTAAACTAGTTAATCTAGGTTCTGTTAGCTTTTTTAAAAACTGACCATGAGCAATTGTTGCATCAAAGCATTCTGGCTGAGCATCGCCGTGGTGTTTTCGTTTGTCGACGGAGCGGTTGTTGATGGGGAGAATTTCGGGGACACTGCACTGAAATCCTTCATTCTCCAGAGTCAAGAATTGAAGTCAAGAATTGAAGGCAAGAATTGAAGTCAAGAATCGATGAAGAATGAAGAATCGATTTAAAAGATATTCAACTGAATGCGAATTGAATAAAGATGACAAGAAAAGAAGCAGATCCCCAGAGAAAGTGCTAATGGCAAAACGATAGAGAAATTTCTGATGATCGGGAAAATAACCTCTGATTCTCTAGGTTTCTCTTCAAAAATGATCTCTTTTGCAATCACTTTTTGATGACAAAAGACTTTATTAGACCTAGAATTTTATATAAACAATTGATTCTTGAGATTCTCCAGAGTCAAGAACTGAAGTCGATCGTCAAAAATCGATTTAAAAGATATTCAATTGAATGCAAAAAGATTTAAAAGCTAATTCATTCACCTAATTAAAAGAAATTGCTGTAAAGAAGCTCAATCTTTAGCTTTGAAAAGCTTAATTGAGATTAAGAATTGATCGTTTTAAACCAGGATTGTGCTTTCGATCTCAGAAAATGTAAATGGAAAATGAAAATGTTGTTTCAACGTTTAATTGTCTCAACGTTTAATTGTTTCAACGTCTTCAAAATATTATCTAATTGATAGAAAACTGAGTTTCAAACAGAATAACATCTTTTAAAAAGTAGATAAATCAAAAAAATGTATGACAGTTTGAGTAAAGTACAGTTTGAGTAAAGTACAGTTTGAGCACTTTCTTCAAAAGAAACCCATTTTGGTGTCAATGAAAAAGTTGTAGAGAATCAAAAATTAAGCTTATATCCAAATTTTCAAAACGATTCAAAAACTGGTTTTCAAGAAATGCCAAATTTACGAATTTTTGACAAAACTTGCATTTTAAGCGAAACTACTAAGTGTATCTTTTTTGAAATTTGGCTATAAGCCCAATTTTTGATTCTCTACAACTTTTCTATTGACACCAAAATGGGTTTCTTTTGAAGAAAGTGCTCAAATGCTCAAACTGGGACATCTCCATTTTTGAGTCTCACACTTGTCTCACACACAAACCAAAATCCTACCACGAAAGAGGAATCCGCAAATTGCCTGTAAAATGAGCAGAAGTCGTCAATAATAATGGAAATTATTTGGAATGAATTCATGGTTTTATGTTGAATAAATTTTAGTTCAAAGTCCGGCAGTTTTCAATTCACCAACCCAATAACTCAATTCCAATTCGAAAAAGTTAAATCTTTTGGTAAAATGAAAACTATTGTTTTAAAGTGAAGCTATTCTTATAAAAGCTGTAAGGAAATGGAAATAAGTTTCGAAATTCAAAAGAAAACGTTCAATTCAGTAAACGAAAGTGATTGGTTGGATGACTGAAAGGAATGAGAAGTGAAGAAGAAGAAGAAAAAGAAGAAGAAAAAGATGCAAAAAGGGGGGAGAGTCAGTTGGCTCTCGAGGAGATCCACTCATCTGGTGTGGATCCGGGAGAAGATCGGCAAAAAGGGAAAAATCGGAGAAGGGGAGATCAGGTCGAAGAGGAGAAGAGGAAGAAGAGGAAGAAGAGGAGAAGAGGAAGAAGAGGAAGAGATGGGAAGGATGAGATGGGGTGATGTGTTACAACGAGGCACACAACGATCAAGGGAGATTCTCTCCAATTCTCGCATTGATCTTTTCCCTTCCTCTCCTAGATCTTAAAGGTGAAATCAACGTAAGCTGAAAGTATTAAAAGAGTTAAACCTGAAATTAACCTGCAAAATCTTTCTGATAACTTTTCCGCAGGGCCTAATATGTACAGTGGATGAATATTTTTGATATCAACTCGTTTTTAAGGACTTTTATTATCTATTTTGGAAAAAGTTCTTAATAACTTTGTAGTAGTCTTCAAGAGAAGATTCAGGGCTATCGAATGACTATAATAGCTTAGTTTTTCTATGAATTTACACCAAATTATTATTAAAACAGTGAACGACTACGCGACTGTCCACTCAAAATAACGTTCTTCTTCTTTCTTTCTTTCTTCTTTTCAAAACTAATCCTAATAAATGAGCGTGTTTCAAGTTTACTTGATCTTAAAGCTCTAGTGAAAGTTATTCACTTTTCAGCCAACGATAAAACAGAACGATTTTTAGCCAACGATTTTTAGCCAATTTTAAAATTAGGTAAGAATGTAAATTTAAATCAGATGTAGTCTAAAAACTGTTCTTTCGACTTTTTACGATTTTGAATGCATTTTTGGGTAATCGGTTCAAACCTGTAGCTAGTTTTATGATCAAAATTTTAAAAGCTAGACTTTATTGATGCAACTAAAAAAGCCAGTTTGTTGGCTTTAGACAAATTTTGGTGTCAACTCGTTTTTAAGGACTTTTATTATCTATTTTGGAAAAAGTTCTTGATAACTTTGTACTAGTTTTTGAAGAAGAGATTCAGGGCTATCGAATGACTATAATAGTTGAGTTTTTCTATGAATTTACACCAAATCATCAGTGAAACAGTGAACGACTACGCGACTGTACAATCAAAATCACTTCTGTACTAATGACGATGATTTTTGGACTTTTACCCAAGTTTTTAAGACTTTTTATCTTTATTTAACTTTAAGTTCTCAGTAAATTTGTAGTAGTTTTCAAGAAGAGATTCAAGGCTACCAAATGACTATAATAGCTTAGTTTTTCTTTGAATTGACACCAAATTATCAGTGAAAAAGTAAACGACTACGCGACTGTCCACTCAAAATGTCGTCGTGAACTCAACGTCAACTAATTCATTGGATTTGACTAACAAAAAGATAAAAAGGAATTGATTTAAACAAGAGCAAAAAAAATGAGAATCAATGTGTGAAAAATCGAAAAGGTCCAAAGAACATCATCCATTAAAAAGAAAATATTTCCCTGGTATTATCCAAATTTGAAACTTAACTTTTTCACAGTGATTATTTTATAAATTGATCGATTTGAGTTGAAATTTTTGATCATTTAGTGCTCATTTTTGCCATTCTTAATTAAAAGAAAAGAAATTTTTAAAATTAACAGCGAAATGAGCATTAAATGAACGTTTGTTGAGGAAAAATCAAATTATTGACGTTGATTATTGATATTGATAAAGTATTAAAGAGAAAGCATTTCATTTCTTGATTTCTTCAAAACCTTATCTTTACCCATTGATTAATTCAAAAGTTAAAAGAAATCAAAATCAAGAATAATAACAAAATAAGTTTCCAAAATGAGCGGAGTTATCGAAAAATTTGTTGATGACTGGGAAAACAGTTTCAGATCCGAGAAATCCGAGAAAAAAAAGGAGATTTTTAGATCTCTCATTACTAGAAAAGGGCAGTGTTTCTCAAATCTTGAAAAAAATTTCGCGAATCAGTCGTCGGCGAAAGGGGATGAGAGAGTAAGCGTCGGAAGGGAGGGGACAGTGATGGCTCGTTTCTTCGCCCGTCTCTTCTCCCATCCACTTCACTCTTCCACCGATCGCTATCTGCTGCCAAGGTCAACCATCGCCCCATCTCTTCTTCTTCTTTTCTACTAGTACTCGTCTTGCCCATGCCGGCTATACCTGTGATTTCTGTGAATCAACCAGCACTTATTGATGAGTGAGAAACTGGGGGAGAAGGGGTTGATCGAACTAATAATCAAGAGATGCAAGTAATCAAGAGTAAACAAGAGATGTAAGTAATCTAGAGATGCAAGTAATCTAGAGATGCAAGTAATCAAGCTCAAACTGGCCAGGAACCAAGAGCAAGCAAGAGATGTAAGGAATCAAGAGATGCAAGTAATCTAGAGATGTAAGTAATCTAGAGATGCAAGCAAGAGATGCAAGTAATCTAGAGATGTAAGGAATCAAGCTCAAACTATCCAGGAACCCAGAAACATTGTTAATACCAGAACTAGAAATACAAGGACCATAAATATCCATTAGCAAGATCAGATATGGTCAAAATTGAAACTTGATGTTTTTTGATGTGGACTATCAACCTTTTTTAAATTCTTTTTCACAAAATGACACTAATGCAATAACTGTTTCTGGAAAAAAAAATGAAGATACGAATACGGAGCACAGTTTCACGGTCGTTTAAAAGCAAGAAAAGAAAACGGAGAAAATTTTCCGACATTTTCCGACAAAGAGAATCAGAACCAAGGCAACACAACTCGAAGAAAGATAATCAATCATCGGGCAAAGAAGAAAAAGATGAAGAGAAGAAGATTGGAATGGAGAGAGATTGGGAAAAGGGAATGGCACGTTAAAGTGGCAAAAGAGGCCTGAAACGATGAAGAAATGAAGTGCAGAGATTCAAAGAGTCAGAGTTGGGGACAATTCATTTTCTAAATCGTCTCCCCTTTCTATTGTAATCCAATCTTTTTGTGATTCTGTGTAGTTCACAGAATTTGCTTTGCTTTACTTTGCTTTACTTTGCTTTGCTTTGCATTGCTTTGCTTTGCATTGCTTTGCTTTGCTTTGCATTGCTTTGCTTTGCTTTGCATTGCTTTGCTTTGCTTTGCTTTGCTTTGCTTTGCTTTGTATTGCTTTGCATTGCTTTGCATTGCTTTGCTTTGCATTGCTTTGCTTTGCTTTGCTTTGCTTTGCTTTGCTTTGTATTGCTTTGCTTTGCTTTGCTTTACTTTGCTTTGCTTTGTCGATGGTGAAAAAAAAGAAGATATTCAACAAAAAGCATAAAGACAAAGATATTCAGCTGTAAATTTGTACCCTGGGGTTTTCAGGATCGGGTAACATCAATTTTATGATGCTAAAAGCCTTGTTTAGAGTCTGCTTTCCCAACTTCATCTCATAAATTGTAAAATTTTAAAAAATAAACATGCGCAAGTGATTAGTCAAAAAGATTCCAATGGAAACAATGGGATTGGTGGATTGGTACAGAGATTGTTCAACTCAATATTGAAACTAGCATTTGTACAAGTCAAAATCTCTTTTTTTGAAGATTCAATTCAAATTATATATGTAATTATATAATCAATATTGATTCAAATTATATAATCAATATTGATCTGAAGAGGAAAGAAAAATGGAGAGATTGAAGGAGATTGAAG